TTTTTTTTTTTTTTTTTTTTTTGCTAAAAGAGGAAACTAAAAAAATTTTTTTCTTAAAGAGAAAATTTTTAGTTAAGTACCATTCCATGGCTTTTCTGTTTCAAGATGTTTCTCTCTGTGATCTAACCAGTGGGAAGAAAGCTTAGAATGTAAATTTTTGACAACACGTTCTTCACATTGATTAAAAGAAACCAAAGTGGTTTATTTTCCATCTAGATGCTGAGAGATAAAAATCTGCATTGAGCCATTTTCTGCAATGAGGTTTCTTGAATCATAGGAAATGTTCAGTGCATTAAAAAGTCATTATAGGGGCCAGGGATTTCACTCAGTTGTTCTGCCACCTGCCTCGCAAGCACAAGGACCCAAATTCAATCCCCCGCCAAAAAAGTCATTCTGTTTCCTATTAGCATACCTTCTTTTTTTTTATACCTTCCTTTTCGATTCTGTAAAATTTACATAAACACCTTCCCTCCTCATTTATAAACTCAGGTTCTATACATCAATATGTGGATAAAACTGTTTTTAAAGACATTGCAGTAAATATTCGAGTATTTGTGGCATTTAGAATTATTTAAAAACCTCCATATGATCTTTAGCTATTATGTTGTTTTCATTGTAAAGAACTTTTCATACAATTCCTTCATGTTAAAGGATTTTTGCCACAAATAATCATTAGTAGTACATGCTAATCTCTAGAAAGAGCTCAAGAGCTGCACTTAGGGAATCATTGGTATCGAAAAGGAGACAGAGGCAATGCTAACAACCCTGCTTCTTCCTGACCCATCTTATGCCCTTAACAACCAATCTCATCAAACACGTGATAGGGAAATGGCAGTGTATTTCTAGCATAGGTCCACTGTTGATTATACTTTTAATAACTTAATTATTGCAAGTACTGGCCCAGAGTAGCCTAAATTATGGGTTATGATCTGATGAGTGACTTATGTTTTTGGATGCCGGAGAAAGAAGTTATATGTTTTGTGAATCATTGCAGTTTTCAATAAATAAATAAACTTCAGAGAAAGGCCAAAATATTGTTTTAAAATAATTCTTTCTAATGCAGTGATTTCGCCCTGTAAGATGGCATGGAGATGAGTAATTGTCACCACCTTCCCTGCTGGATCAGTTATATGTCTGTGGCAGCTGGTATAAATCTTCTATAAATTAATTTTTACCAAAAGTTATGAGACAAAGCAACCTGGCAAAATGCTTCCCCATTTTTCTTGTGTCGTTATTGTTACCATCAAGCACTTGAGTTAAGGATAGAGCTCATCAAGAGAACCCTTGCCTAGTTTGTTGAAGACCCTGAGTTAATGCCAGCTCCACAGAAATGAAATTATGAGACAAGTGGGTTGCAGGTCAGTGGTAGCGTCCTGTCTCCCAGTGTCAGCACTTGAGCTCAGCCCTCAACACAGCAAATAAAACAAGAAAAGAAAAGAAAAAAAAATATCAAACCGGCATCCACTTGGGTGGGTCTGTGAACCTGATCTTTAAGTAAATGAATCAATAAATACTGCAACTCTTTCAGTATCATGAGACCAGAAAATAACCCTGAAATGGCTGAAAAGGCAAGTGCTGCATTCAAGTGAGCACATGGGACTGTGTTAGTGGAAACAAGGCTGAAACGTGGAGCTCACAAGTCTGAATCCAGGGCTTTTCCTATGTCCCAGAGCTATGTGAAGTGTAGTGGGGTTCCTCTAGAGATCTTCTACTTATCATTAAGGTGATAATGGGTTATGATAGGGCCCAAATGGAGGATTGGTTATAGTGAAAATTACGAGTTAAGGATGGAGCTTCATAAAGTCATAATGGGGGAGGCAAGAGGTCATAGTGGGGGCATTGTGGTGGTGTAATGGAGAACTGTGACACCACAGTGAGATATCTGATATACCAGTGGGGAATTATGAGACCGTGGGGGGCATAGTGACAACATAAAGGAACAGTGTGATGTCATAACAAGGGCAATGTGAGGTCATAGTGGGGAATTTTGAGGTCATCGAGATTATGACATCGCAAGGAGGGATTTTGATGTCAAATGGGGGGGCACCACGAGGACACAGTGGAGCATTGTGCTGTTGTGAGTGGGGCCCTGTGAGGTCACAGTTGGCCTTTGTGATGTTTTAGTGGGCAATTGTGGTGTCACAAAGGATGGTTGTGATGTCATAAGGGGAAACAATAGGGTATCATAATGGGGAATTGTGAGGTTACAAAGGCGTATTGTGATGCCACGACAGGGCATGTGAGATCACAATAGGGGATTATGATGTCACAGTGGAATATTGTGGTGCCATAATGGGGTGTTTCTGGTGCCATGATGCACCATTGTGGTGTCATAACTGGCAGTTGTGATGTCAAAAAGATTGTGATGCCATAGGGAGGCGAGGTGAGGTCGTAATGGGGGAATTGTGGGGTCATAATGAGAATCGGATGTTACCACTGAGCACTGTGAGGTCACGATAGGACATTATAAAGTCACATAGGGCATTGTGTCATCACAATTCAGCATTGTGATGTCATGGGATATTGTGATTCCTTGATATGTAGCATCACAATGAACCATTGCAATACATTGACTATGATGCCATGATGGGGACATTGCAGTGTCACTGTAAGGCATTGTGAGACTAAAATAGGGCATTATGAACTCACAATGGAACATTGTGCTATCACAGTGGGCATTCTGACGTCATAATGTGTCATTATGATGTCACAGGGGCATTGTGGGGTCTCAAAATGGCACTGTGATGTCATGACAGGCCATTTTCTTCTCGTAGTGGATCATTGTGATGCCATTGGGTCATTGTGAGATCATAAAAGTCTACTGGGATTTCATACTGAGGCATTGGGATGTCACAATGGGGGTATAGTGGTGTGATAATGGGGTATTTTGATGTCAAAACAATAGGTCACGATGGCTGATTGTGATGTTATAATCGGATATTGTGATGTCTTAATGTATCTTTTGATGTCACTATGGGCCATTGTATATCATAGTGTGGCATTATGGGGTCATGATAGGGCACTGTGACATCACAATGGGGCATTATTACATTATGACGTGGCATTGTGATATAAATGATGGTTGTGATGTCATAATGGGGGCACTGTGAGGTCACAGTGGGGAATTGTGATTTCAAAGTATTGCTTATGAGGTCACAATTGAGCACTGGGCTGTCGCAATGGGACAATGTGATGTCATCATATTATATTGTGAAGTCACGTGGGCCAGTATGAAGTCATATTTGGCACTGCAGAGTTATAATAGGGCATGGTGATATCATACTGGACAATTGTGATGTCGTAACAGGGTATTATAAGAGCGTAGTGGGGTAGAGGTCATAATGGGGTATTATGAGGACATAAGTGGGTATAATGGGTAATATGTGGTCCTACTGGGGTAATATGAGGTCATCAATGGGCACAATGAGGTCATAATGGAATAGGAATAGGTCATATTCTAATATAATGATGTCACTGTTGATTATTATGAAGTCAAAATTGTGTATCATGAGGACATAAAGGGCTTTTAAAAATTATTACTATAGTTTGGTTTCTCTTCAGATCATATAAATCTTTTAAACTTTTAAAAGATTTTTAATGATATGAGGGAACAGAGGGGCATCGCAGTGGCATAGTGGGGTATTATGTGGTCATAATTGTATTTTTAGGTTATATTGTGATCGTGTGAAGTCAAAATATGCTATTACAAGGAGGTATTAATTAATAGTGGGGTATAATGAGGTCATAATGGGGCACATTTTTCTTGTCATAGTGGGTCATTGTGATGTCATTATTGGGTCACTGTGAAATCATAAAGGGTTCTGGGCTTTTAAAATGGGTCACTGTGAGATGAGTATGAGCCACTGTGATGTCTCAGTGGAGGTACAGTGGTGTCATAATGGAGCAGTTTGATGTCAAAACAATAGGTCACATTGACTGTGGTGTTATAATGGGACATTGTGATGTTATCATGTGTCATTGTGATGTCACTATGGGCCATTGTATATCATCATGTGGCATTGTCACGTCACAACAAGGCACTGTGAGGTTAGGCTTAGGGTTAGGGTTATTGTGATATTATAATGAGGCAATGTGTGATCATAATGAGGGCATTGTGAAGTCCAAGTGGGTTATTATGATGTCCAAGTAAGACTTTTGACACAATCTGGCATTATGAAGTCTCAGTGGAGCATTGTACTGTCACAGTGGGGCATTGCGATATTGCATTCATTGTGAGGTCACAATGGGTCAGTATGAAATCACAAATGGCACTATGGAGTTGTAGTGGAACGTTTTGATATCATAATGGACCACTGTGTGTCATAACAGGGTATTATAAGAGCACAGCGGGGTGGAGAAGGAACTATTTTGATTCATAGTTGAAGGGGAGCTTCAGATCGTGCAGATGCAGGAACGGTCAGATCTTCATGGATCAAAGTCATTCCACAGCTGGCTATCGTTGAGCTTTGTAGTGACAGAGGAGATCGGCAGGGAAGGTGGTAGCAGCACTACAGCAGCCCTGTAGTGGAGTTTGAGCCCATCTCTCCGTTTCTAGCTTCAGAACTCTGTGACCCTGGGGCGACTTCAGCCGGACTGCGACTACACGGTGGAACTGCAGGCCGTCACCTACTGGGGACAGATCCGCCTCAAGAGTGCCAAGGTGTCTCTGCACTTCACGTCCACACGCGCTGCCCACCACAGTAAGTGGCACTGTCTCACTGCTCGTGTCCACCGAGGGCAGCACGTGGTCAAAGCAAGGCAAGCAGCACAAGAGTGAGTTTTGCTTTGGAGTCATTACTTGGTAAACCTCACCAGTACACACACAGTCACACTCGGGCCCTGCTTAACGGCCTCCAACAGAAAGATGGTCCCACATGATGGATCATGTGGCTTTAGTGTCATCGTGGTTATCTTCATTTGTATAAGCGTCGTGGACAGTGTTTACACAATGACAAAAACGGCTCCGGATGACGTTTCTCAGAACATATCCCTATTACTGAGCAACATGGGCCTGGACGTTCTTTGAACTACAAGGTGCAAAATAATTTTTCCTGCGAATACTAATGTTTTGATGTTGACCTGTCGGTGTGCTATTTTGGTGTTCGAAAAAAAGGGTCACAGAAGGCGGGCAGGGACTGTGATTAGCAGTAGAGTGTTAGCAACATGGGCCTGGACGTTCTTTGAACTACAAGGTGCAAAATAATTTTTCCTGCGAATACTAGTGTTTTGATGTTGACCTGTCGGTGTGCTATTTTGGTGTTCGAAAAAAAAGGGTCACAGAAGGCGGGCAGGGACTGTGATTAGCAGTAGAGTGCTCACGTAGTGAGTGTGGGCCCTGGGCTTTATTCCCCGTTTGGGAGGCGTGATCACACCTCATTCTACCTGCCCCCTGTTTTTACTTTCACACGACAGATCCCTGCTTCCTCTGTACACATGTACATATTTTCAGGCAAATGCATACAGTTGAGCCGTTAGAAACGGTTGTTTCTCCTCCTAAAGACGTGGCCGGCCTGTTTGCTTTGGAATTCTACAGTGGCTGTAGTCATGGCTTGGAAAGCTGTCTGGTCCTCCATTGAGTAGTTAGCAATTATTCCCACGTTGGTTTTTCTTGTTTCCATTTTTCTTTTTTTCTTAACTAGTATGTTTACCGTGAACTGTGCAAAACAGGAGCGTTGTACACGACAGTCGGGTCTTAGCCGGCAAACAAGTTACTTGGCGTTTATAGCTTTGTTCGAAGTGGAGGCTCATGGGCAGTGCTCTGTAGAGGCCCTTGGGAGGCTCCAGAGAACTAGGGCAGAGGAAAGGCGGGCGAGGGGGACAAGGGCCCTTGTGTGAGGCACCCTGGCCATATGGATTCCTTACAGTAGCAGATCCCTGCCGTCCCTCTGCCTTTCCTCATGGCTGTGGGGCTTGCGCTACGGGGACAAGAACATGAAAAGCTGGTTAGAACTGGGGAAAAGCAACACTGACTCTTCAGAGGTAGATGCAGTGATTGCTCGTAGTTATCTTCTGCCACCTGGGGGGAAGGCAAGAGCCCAAGGAGCTGGTTTGTTTGAAATGATGCTTTACAAAAAGTCTCAGAGACACAGCATCCAACCTATTTAAGAAATTGTCTCTTGGATGATTAAATCGGTTTGAAATGGTCAGTTTTTGGTGTGTGAGCCCAGGTGCAATGCAACTTTTACCTAAAACACTTCGTGGAAATATTTCTATGTGTTTAGCAGCTTCATTCATTTTTTAATATAGTCATCTATTCATCCATTACATTGAAGTTATGTATCTATGAATTGTAATATTACTGTGTCTGATGGTGGGAATTCTATACACATACATATATTTATATACACACATACTGTATAATATATGCTAAATACATGCTATACGTACATCACACCATGTTTGATAGTTTTCTGTAACCAGTGTGTGCATAGTACATACACACACACACACACACACAAATATGCACACAAAAGAGAGTTGCTGCTTGGTATCCATGCAAGATTATTTCTGGCCCCCAAAACCCATAGATAGCAAAATCTTTGGATGCTCCAGTCCCTTATAGAAAATGGCCTAGTATTTGCATACCTCCTATACACATCCTCAAAATTTATTTTAAATGCTATCTAGATGACTTAAAGTGCCTAAACAAATGTTAGCGCTAAGTGAATAGTTTTATGTCTTTTGTTTAGGGGGAAATGACGAGAAGTCTATGCATATTTAATAGAGATGGTTTTTTGTCCCCTCTTTTTTCTTTGTTTTTAAGTTCTGGGGCTCAAACCCAGGGGTGTGCTACCACTGAACCACATCCTTAGCTCTTTCTACTTTTAATTCGGGGACAAAGTCTCACTGACTTGTCCAGGCTGGCCTTGAACTTGCGGTCCTTTGCTGAGTAAGTCGGATTACCGGCATGCCCCACCGTGCCTGAATTTTTTTCAGTGTGCTTGACTCACGTTGATTAAATCCATAGGGAGATTTGACTACACACAGATATGAACACACACACACACACACACACACACACACACACACACACACACATTTCCCGGCGGTGCGTATATCTTGGCCTTTGCCTGAAAACTACTCCGGCCAAAGGTCCAGAACTCATTCTTTATTCTTCTCTTTTCTTTCTCCCTAGAAGTTGAATGCCACAGGAAGCTTTTCTAGATTTAAATTAAATTAAATTACACATAAGCTCTGTCTGCTTCTCTCCTTTGTTGAAGCCACGCCACCTCTCTCTACTAAAATTGAAATAGTCTCCTCATTTACATTCCTGCTTCTTCTCTTTCTTAAATTAATTCTCCATTATTCAGATAGCAGGAAAAGTATTCTTCAGAAACTATTATAAGCAGAGTACAGGATCTTCCTTTTCTGAGTTCTACTCTCAGGAAAACCACCTATTTCTGTGCTTTTTCTCTCTCCCCAACCTTAGCTTTTACTGCTGTTCTCTTTATTCCTTCTAAACATCCAAATCCTGTGAACCTCTGCTTCATCCAAGGCATTTGTTTTTCTACTGGTGGTGGGGCTTTCATCCATGGTGTAAAATAAGTATGTCTCTTTAGACTCCTCTGTCCCTTCCGATAAACAACATTCTTTCCTTGTTAGCAACTGGTGTGGGATTGCAGACTCCCATAATTTAATATGTGTGTGTTCCCAGAACCGAGAGCAAATTCTAACCTCAACTTGTCATTGTTGAGGTTACATCATCAGGAGTCTGGTCACTGTCCAGTCCACAAACAAAACTTTCATGGAACCCTGGTTATGCCTGGCACGTGTACGGCTTTCTTGCTTTCCCTGTGGCATCTCCACATGAACTCTCAAGAATGATCCTAGACCCTTTTCTCTCCTTGTGAGCTGAATTTCACAGTCTGCTTCTCCCCGCATCTTCTCCCAGTCAGCCGAGCCCCTCATGTGTAAACGTATCTGTCCCTTGACCTACGTTTCTCTTGTCCTCTCCTCTGCGATTGAAAGTGGAGCCATCGTTCCTTCTGCAAATGGCGGATGTCTCCATTGAATTCTAGACTGCCCCTGCCCAACTCAGACACCTGCCAGCCCTGAGGCAGAAACCTCGTCTCAGTTGAGATCATGGATCATCTCTGCGTGTGCCCTCAGCATCCATCACTGTGCTTGGCATATAATCACGGGACTGTAAATATTCATGAAACTAAAGGAATCAGTCATTCCTTGCCTTGCTTTTTGCTCCAACTTACACCAGTAGGTCTGCTTAGTTTCTGCTTCAAAAGCACAGTTTTCTTCCATTCCAGCTGCCATTTTTCTCCTTTCCCTGTTCCTCACAAGCCCTGTTCTCTGTGTCCCTATCTCATTTCTTCCACTAAATCTGCTCCTGCTCATTTTTTTGTATTATTATTGGGGGGGGTTGAGACAGGGTCTCACTATGTAGTTGAGACTGATCTGGAACCTAGTATGTAGCCCAGGCTGGTCTGGAATTCAAAGCGATCCTCCTGACTCAGCCTCCCGAGTGCTGGGATTATAGGCGTGCGTGCTCCTGCTCATTTTTAAATGGGATGGGTGTTTTCCATTCCTAATTTTTCTGACCCTTGCTGCTACCTTTGTCTTTGTGGGAACGTCCTCTTCTCCTTGACCCTGGCATGTTGGACTCGCAGATAGCCTCGTGTTTCCCGTACCTCTTCTTAGTTTTACCTGCGGGGTGCTACTCCATTCAGCTCATGGACGTTGGTGCATTCCGGAATTCGCCTTCATCTGCTTGGATGGTTTCAAGCACTTGTCCGTGCATCCTGCTCAGGGATTCACACTTAGCCTTGATTTCTCCACTAATACAAACTGCGTTTCCCAACTTTATCACTGTCTCTATTTGAATGTCATGAGACACCTCTACCTGAGCAAGTTCCAAATTGAACTCACTTCTCCATCTGCAAAGCTGGATATTCTCATGCATTTCTAGAACCTATGGATGTTAACACCGAAAAGAAACTAGAGAGTCTTTATTCACCTATTGCTTTCTGGCTTCTTTATTTCATCTCTTATTCCAGAAAATTTTTAAGCTCTGCAGATTTCTTGAATCTCTGAGGAGCGTAAGAATTTGTGACAGTCATCTCTCCATCACAAGATAACTGAAACAATCAACTCATTAAAAGAAAAGACGGGGGCCGGGGATTTAGCTCAGTGGTGCCGCTGCCCGACTTGCAAGTAGAAGGTCCTGAGCTCCATCCCTGGTACCAAAATAAAAAAACAAACAAACAAAAAACAAAAAGAAAAGATGTACCTTGGCTCACAGTTTTTGGAAGCTCCAGTCCCTGGTGAATTGGCCTGCTGGCTTTCGGCCTGTGCAAAGACAGCACATCACAGAAAGAGGATATGAACAAAGCCACTTACCTCGTGGCCAGGAAGCAAAGGAAGAGAGAAGGAGTCTCACAACCCCAGTGATCCAAAGACCTCTCACTGGACTGCACCCCTTTAAGGATTCTATCACCTCCCAAGAGACCACAGCATTTGCTTTGTGGGCCTTTTGGGAACATTCTGAATCCACCTTATAGCAGAATTCAATTCATGTTTGTTGTCCAACTGGATATAGCAGTTTCTCCATTTAACCACTTTTATTCTCCATGCCACAGCTTCCCAAAGATGTCAATGGATAAACCTGACCTAGGCGTGAATACTAAAGAGGAAGGGAAAAAGGAATAGCATTTGGTCTCATCTTCCAAGCAATCAAAGCGATGCATCTTTTCCAGTCTGTCTGCATAATTTCACTATCTTGTCCAACAGTTTTTGTTTTTATTTGTGTATCTGTTCCAGAGGAATTCTCTTTACACATGAGCGTTTCCTGCCAGGTGGGAAGGCGTAGAATTATGGAAGTTTAATGAGTTATTTTGACACCGATCGCCTCGTAGTCGTGACAAACAATACATAGTATTTGGTTGATCCTGGGTGGCTACACTCTTCAACAGCCATCTTTGAAAATCAGATAACCTCTGAAAATAACCTTTGAACGCCAGATTACCTGGCCAGCAGAGGTATGACACTTGACCTGTCACAGACCATTTTATTGTGAGGACTGACTCCTGCCACACGGATTTGGAAAAGTAATAAAAGAATAATTTTTAAAAAGTAATGCAAAGTGTCTGCTTTGAGATATATTGCCTGGTCTCAGATCTCCCTGTAGAGGAGAACGGCTTTACAACAGATTATGTAGGCTATGGAGGAATGTTTGTCAGGATTTTATATCCCAATGTTGATATATAATCTTATAAACACTAGTGTATGGTTTTACAGGAACACATTATATTTTATCATGAACCAACTAGAAGTAAAGAAAAATTACAACTTTATGCTATAAGCAAAGGGGATTATATTTTATAACAGGTAGCATAGTAAATGTCAGCATATCAATTACTTTTTTGAGTTATATCTTTCTTGGTTTGCGGCAACTAGATGTTTTAATGATAAATATTTTCACGCAAGCAGAGGCTGAATGTTCATGCAATTTTTATGAAAGGGTCCCTTGAAGGAAGTAGGGCATACTTTAATGGAAAGTAGCTTGTTTTTCTGGAGGCAGAAGAAATATTTCCAGTATTGACACATTCCAAATGTTACATGGTTGCCTCTTGGAACTTGATGGAGCATTCTTTTCACTCCTCAAAATAAGAATGAATTTAAGAGAAAAAACCTTGAATCTTTTGATCTGTAAAATTTTAAAAATCTGGACATTTAAAAAAAGTGGCAGAGAGAGAGAAAGAGAGAGAGAGGGACCTCAGTTCACCAATATAATTCTTTCCATGATTCTAATTGTAAACTGAATTGGACAAGAACTGAATCAAATTTTCTCATAAGGTCAACATTGAACCTAACTACTGAATTTTATGCACACATATATCTGACTCTCTTAACACTTATGACTGTTGAAAATAGAATATGAAGCAGACCTCATGTCCTTTCAGAAGAGAGTAGATATGATTTTATGCCATTTTCGTTTATTTATCAAAGTGCAAGTGATGTTCTTACAAAGCCGGAGGCATAACCATGGCAGTGTGAGTAGCACTGATATTTTAAAATTTCTTTTTCCTTTTTCCTTTATTGGTACATTTTAGGTATACAATACAGTTAGTTACATTCATCATTGGGATCTTGTACCTTTACATGATGTATCTTGGTTCTTATTTTTTCCCCATTGCCGTGCCCTCCCTTCACCCCCTCCACCCTTTACTATTTACAGAGACTTTGCTTCCATTTTTTTTTCCTTTTCTCTTATTTTTCCTTTTCCCTTCTCAGCTTTCCCCTATCAGTAGCACTAATTTTTGCTAGAGTCATTTCAGAAAAGCAACAATGGCTCAATCTTGAGACCTTCAGAAATATGTTCCTGTATCTCTAATGAAAGTTTTACATAAAATTTAAAAGCAAATGGAAAGATAAAATTCACGTAAAGGTGAAACTTAGTATCTTCGCTGCCACCTTGATTATCTGGTGGTACATTCTCAGTAGCACAGATTACTGAATAAATTAAAAACATAAATTGGCACGTGAACATCTTAAATCTTTAATTCAACTTTAGATGTAACCCAGAGAATTCTCTAAGTCAATGATGATGTGGATAAAGGAGATGGATTTTGGCCAGGAGCATCATAAATTTTCTGTATTCTCTTCCCTCCTCTTTTCTCTGGGTTCTAAGCTCACTGGTTATTCTAACTTTCTAAAGTGATGCCCTAATTAGTGTTTCTCGCCTTGGTTTGAACTCCTTGAACAAAAATGTGTAAATAAGTCCCTGACTGATGTTGTTAGAGAATATTCGCAACACATCGAACATAGGTCTCACAGTAAAATTGGAAATTTAGGAAGCAGAAAAGCCATACCTCAAAGGGCAGGATTCCTGTGTGTGAAGTGTCTGAATTCAGGGCATGAGTGAGGCACAGGATTGAGGCTTGGCAGGTCTTTGCTGTCCTTCTTATGCAGGTATGTGAGTTGGATCTCTAGGAAGACTCCGTAGCTGGTGAGGAAAACATGCTTGACACAGAACAGCTCTAAGATTAAACCTCAACTTCCCTCCTGTTTTACTTGGGCGAAACTGGACATGATCCCTAAATTGTTGAGTGCTATGAGGTTTCTGTTTAGTATCTGCTGAGTCCATTTTCTCAAGGGGATACCAACCATGGCCCACGGGTTGTACCCAGCCTCCCACCTGTTTTAACAAAGAGGATTTTATTGGCATGCGGTCACACTTAATTGTCCTCATATCACCTCTGGCTACTTTTCCGGGCTGCAATAGTCATGGGGTGTTTGGAAGAGAGACACAGCCAAAACTATGTACCCCCTGGCTCTTTAGCAAAAACTCACAGCCCGCTGCTTTGTTTCACAAGATGGTTTTAGGACCTTAAATAAAGCAGCACCAAAGTTCTCCAACCACTTGAAGAAGCACCGGAAAAGCTGTAGGAGTCAAAAAAGAGAATTGCAGTGTTCTTCCTGCAAGAAGGGAGGACATGCCCAGAGAAACACGTCCAGTATTCATGTCAGGTGCTTTCTCTGATGGCACTAAAGTAAGTTACACAGCCCCATCTAATGGACCCTGACTCACAGCTTTCGTGGAAGCCACCAGCACTAGAGGCTCCATTGCCACTGCAAACCGAGCTGGCTGTCTGCATCCAAGGAAGATTAGGATGTGGTTTTCCCGAGAGGACTTCTAGGATGGATTAGAAGAACAGATTAAAGGAAAAGAGATTAAACAGAAAATGCAGCAACACTAAGGAAGACTTTGTTTCCTTTTAAGCCAGGGGAATCTTCACCATGGCCGACTTGGCCCACATTTGGTTGGATGAACAGTATTTCTAGGAGTGCCAGTGCCTTTTGTAATAAAATAATCACAGCTATACATGTGAAGGGGCTGGTCCGATTTGAGGAATGAGGCGTGACACCAACTAGAAAGACGCAGCGAAATTAAAACTGAACAATTAGAAGAAAAGCAAAACCAGGGCCAGATCTTGACGCTCAACAGCAAGACCCTGGGAAATGACCTCACCTAAGGATAAAATTCGGCACTGCCTGAGTCGAAGAAGTATTTCAAGGTGTCCTTGCTTCTCATGTTGCAGTAGACAGGGGCTATTTGGAGATCGAGGTCATTCTTACTCACTTGTACATTCTCCTCACTCTTCAGTGAGCCTGTGTTGGGAACAATTTATTTATTCATGCATCGGTACATTTTAGATATACAAAGAATATCACTCATCATAGGGAATTTGCACCTGTACGTGGTATGTCCTGCCTTTTCTTTTTCTTTTTTCCCCCCATTCCTTCTCCCTTTCTGTTTTTCACACTAGAGAAACCACGCAGTAAAATAAACAATAGAAAAAAAAACAGTATTCATGCTTAAAGCAAATGGTAACAGACGTGCGTACACATCCTTACATCAGACGTGCGTACACATCCTTACAATTTCCCCCAAAGTGGCCTAGTTCCTTTGCAAAGTGCCAGCTCACCTTGAGACAGTCGTCCTCCTATGGTTCATTTCATCAGGAAGCCCTGGGCCTGTGTTTCAAAGGATAGACGCGGCGACTCGGTACACGCATCCCTTTCTGCCCTGACCGCATCTGCAGTAGCGCCCTCTCTCTTTCAAAAGCTGTCCAGCTCTAACTCGGGGCTGGCCCTTGGGACAGTGCTCCTGACTGCTTCTGGAAAAGACCAGTGAGGAAATACATCCCCACATTCCATCCCCCCCGCCACGAGGTGCGTGCCGTGCACAGATTGCTCGGTGCGCAGTGGGACGGCAGTTGACCTTGCGGACTGGTTGGTGCAAGGTGAGATTTTACTACTAATTTGACAAAGTTGAGTTATATTTCTGTTTAGAGCCTTGAACACTGCGTATTAACATAACGTACCCGTAAGATATTTACGCCAAGTTGGCTATTGTTTCAGGAAAAATCAATTTAATACTATTGTACTTTCCTCGTACCTAGTAAAAATTTATCTATAGTGAGAAACAATACATATGCTTATTTCTCAAAACGTCTTTGAAACCTGGTGACCAGTTGAGATGCTGCGGATTCCGCATAACACATTTTAGGTATTCCAGCACATTTTGAGGTAGAGGAAGATTGCGGTCTTGAACATACACGAGTATGTGATTCTGTCACCTTCTCTTAACAAATAGAGAGGTGCTCAATAAGAAAGAATGACAGGATGGCATGACATTTCCTGGGATGAATATCAGAGTGGATCATTATTTTCTATCCGTAAGTTCAAATGTTGTGCTTTCTCATAGAAGAACAGATGGGGAAAACCAGAAAAGGGGTGGCCCCGATACAGCCCCCTTTCCAACGAAGACGGCCCACCCGCCCCATAGAGATTGGAGCTCCCTTCTACCAAGACGGCCAACTGCAAGTCAAAGTCTACTGGAAAAAGACTGAAGGTAACTTCACGGTTTGTGCTTAAATGTTATGTGCTCTAGATGGCTTGGAGATGTAAAGATGTGGATGTGTCTTTTTGTCTTTTTCTAAGTAAATGCCATAGTGTACCACTCCAAAATATCCTAATTTTCTTACAAAGTGCTCGAGCAGTGCACTATACATTCAAATAAATTGTGCCTATTTATTATTCTAAGAAGTGGATTTTTGCAATTGTAAATTACCACAAATGCACCAATTAAACTTTAAACAGACTGAAATTTGTAGCTTTCGTTTTAAGTATTATTTCCTTTTAGAAATGGCCTAGTGATTAAAATATGCGCTCATTTTTTATTAAGTAATATTCAAGCCATGGTGTTATTAAGTTCTAACAAGGGACTGAAACACTTTTCCTTTTTCTTCTTTTCCTCCCACTCCAGTCCCCCCCTCCGCTTTCCCTTCCCCTTCCCTTCCTTTTTTAAACAAATGCCTTTCTGTGTTGAAGTCTAAGTGGGTTGACATTGGTTCTGGAGCTCTATCAGACATTTTATTATTAGCAGCAATTACACCCTGAATTTTTATGTTTCGAGGAAATTGGGTTTTCGTTGTTTCTTTGCCGGAGTGCTAATCTGTGTCTAAAACACTTGTAATATTTTTTTGGTCGGTAACTTTTGTGATGAATTATTTTTTATTTTTTAAAAAAGCCCTATAATACCTAATTTGGGAAACTAAAAACAGCTTTTCCTACAAAAAACATTTGGGAGTTTTCCTCTCAAAAATTTCCTATGCATGTATTTTCCACTGAGTTGTTTGTTTTGTTTTGTTACATCTTGGTTTGTTTTATGGTACTGGAAAGTGAACCCAGGAACTTTGCAATGAGCTACATCCTTAGTCCTTTTTAATTTTTTAAATTTTGAGTCAAGGTCTCACCAAGTCTACTAAACTGCCCAGGCAGGGATCAAACTTGGAGTCTTCCTACGTCACCCTCCAGAAGTGCTAAGATTATAGGCTCGTGCTGAGTGCCTTAAACACAGAGTTACTTTCTTCTATATGTGTGTGTGCATGAGTATGTATGTGTGAAAAATAAGTGTACTTGTCCCATAGTGTTATATGAGCATTATATCATGCACTTTTCAAAAAATTTTCAAATTGCTGCCCTGTATGTGTGTATCTTAATAATATATTGCATGTCATTGTTCCAGTACAGTGAAACATTGAGCTTCCTTATAATTCTTATTTTATTGTTTATTTATTTATTTATTTATTTTGGTTTTTTTGAGACAGGGTCTCACTATGTATCCCAGGCTGGTCTTGAACTCACAGTAATCCTCCTGCCTCAGCCTTCCGAGTGCTGGGATTACAGGCGTGCGCCACCATGCCCGGCTTATAATTATTATTTTATAAGGAAAGTTACTATGAACATTTATGCTTGAGAGGGAATCTTTATTTATGTTTATTATAAATTCCTATTTGTTTTCTTTATTTTTAGCATACTTAATTTGCATTGCTGAAGTATTGCCCAAGCATTTATAGGGTATAACAATTTTATTTGTATTGCTTCTACTAATTTTAACAAGAGAAGCAGAATAGGGAATTTTTAAGAGTTCAGCTTTTGAAATCCCCTCCTCTTTTTGAAGTTCTGTTTCCTTGTGGCATTGATAGCTAATGAGGAATAGGACTGTGGGAGTGGTCCTTGTTTCAAAATTTTCCTTTGAGCTGCTGAAACCTATGATACAACTAAAGTAACATTGCCATCATGATGAGTACATTTCATCGGCATTGTGATTGAATTAAGATAGAAATTTGTTAAACTAAAATGCTGTGATTCCCTATTCATATCAGAAATAACAATTGGTAATACATATAAGTTATAAAATGTATTTGGTCATTACATGTGTCAATTTTAAGTTAAAATCATATCACAATATATTAACATCAGCAGAGCTTAATATATTTTATTAATAATATGAAAGATTTAATGATGTGGTAAAGTATCATGAAAATGCAGGCACCTAATATCAAAAAGGTAAACATCCCAAGCCTACGGGACTAACTACCCGCTTCCTGACTTCTAAAACTGGACATTAGTTTTGCCTGTGTTTGAATTTTATCAGAGTGGAATCACAGAGTGTGAATTCAGCTTCCTGCACAGAGTATCTCATAAGTGAGAAAGGATTCTATTCCGAAACATGGATTCATTCCCTTTCATTGCTGCCTGGATTCTCCCGTACACTGTGGACTCCACATCTTCTCCTCTGTAGAGGGAAAATCCTCTTGCTTCTGGTGTGGGGCTGTTCACAGCAGTGCTGCTGGGAACGTTTCCCCGTATAAACATGTTCTCCCAGAGTGGCGAGGAAGCGGGTCCTGAACCCTAGAACGTGGTGCACTTCGAGAGGCACTACTGCTTGTCCAGAGTGGTTAAACCAGTTTGCCTTCTCACCAGTTGGGTACGAGCCCGAGGTCCAACCTGTTCCAACTGCCACGTGGTGTTTCCCATCTTTTTAGTGCAGCTGTGGTCCACTTGTGTAGTGATTACTCCTTGTTTTAATTTGTTCTTTTCCGATCTCTGTGTTGAGCACCTTTTTGTAAAGTTCCTGGCATTGGGTTGCTTCTTTATTGAACCTCTCCTTCAACTCATTGGTCATACTTTCTTACAAAAATTCCTCAGAAATCAAGTATTAATAGTATTTTCCCCACCATAACCTGTCTTTTAACTTTTAACTTCCCCGATTTCCAACTAATGAGGCATCATTTATTTAAAAATGATGATTCCAAAGCTTGGTGGTATCCCCTTCCTCCTAAATGAGGCAAACATGTGCAAGTTAATTTGGGGAATTTTCGTAGAGTCATTGGTGTATTTTCCAAATTTTTCACAGTACTTCACTGTCTTAGCCACTGTAAGCGTATAACTAGTGTCATAGTATGGTCTCCTACATTTTTCTTTTTACTCCCTTTTCACATTATCTTGATAATTCTTGTGCCTTTGCTGTTTTCTATAAATATTTGAATTTGTCTTTCAATTTTCACAAAAACCTCCTGACATCTTTATTGAGACTGCAGTTTGTCTACGTGTTAATGGTTAGAGGATTCACACCCTAAAATACTGAATGTTAAAACCCCAAAATGTGGGTTTTATTTGGGTTTTTTAATTTTCTCAAAATTTTCTCAAAATTCTGTCTTATATTGTAAAGAGGCTGTAACACATTTTTGTGTGAGTATTCCAAGGTGTGCTTATTTTAATCCTATTACAGTTGGCATACCGTTGCCTCAATTTCATTTTTAAATTTTTGTTGCTGGTATATGATAAATGCATTTTATACTTAAATCTCGACTATGAGTCCAGCAGTCATTTTATGACCTTTATAATTACAACATTTTCTGCAATGATTTCTTTGTGTATTCTCTAAAAACTATCATGTAGTTTTTAGTGATAATTTTATATTTCCTTTTCCAGACCTTTGACATTTTACTTTCTTTTCTTGGCAAGACTTTGAGTGCAAAAATGACTACAATGATAGTAATAGGTTTGATGTTTAATTGTAGAGTTTTTGAAGCTATCCGTCACCAGATTAGTAAAATTCTCTACTGTTCTGTCCTTCGAAGTTCGAGCCATGAAATGATACTGAATTTCATCCAATTTTTTCTGCATCTAGAGAGGTGATCAATGAATTATTCTTCTTTATCCTATTAATAGGATGAGCTAAAGGGAAAATGTGATCGATCATTTCCTGTGTTTGTACTGAGGATAAATGAGATTACACACGCAGATTGCTTGAAACAGTGCCCAAAACAGAGCAAGCACCCCAGGTGTTTAAGTGTGAAGGTTTTTACAGCCTGTTTTTGTAGGTAGGGCTGTCAGTGTGGCCAAAAGGCAGAGAGAAGGCAGGACAGAAGTCCAGAGCCTGAGCGTCTTGCCCTGTAATGCTTTCCCCTTTCAAGATAAAACAGCAGTGTCTTAAAAAATGATTTCATTGTCCGGTTTTCAATATAAATGCTATACATCATGCAAATCTTGTTAAAATGGGGGAAAGAACAGGGCTCCACCTTCAGTGCACTATATCATCAAGAAAGAACTTGATCAATGTCCCTAAGCAACAAATGGATGCTTGACCATTGTGGAACCGTGCTTTTCTTTTGATGTCTTTCAGACAGACATGGATTCCTTTATTTGCTACATTCTCCGTCCTTGGCTTTACATGACTGTTGGTCATACTACTTCTTGTTGAATGGCTATACACACCCACACACACATAACCACACACATTTCTTTAAATAATTCCAAAGTTAGTTATAAATGAAAAAATATCAGCAGATTTCTCAGATATGGAAACCATTATAGAAACCATAGGCAGAAAACTGCATCAGTATTGCCCAGCAAATAATCAGGGTGTGTGATACTATCAGATTTACTTTCCAGTGCGTGAAATTATGGACTTATGGTAAACGGGCTTGATACAGTAACAAGAAAGTGACCTTGATATTTTGTCTTTAAAATTGATTGTGAGTTGATTTGAGTCTGGTGATGTGGACATGATTCACTGGAATTGTGAATTCTCCAGAGTACAGCAAATATTTTCGGCAGTGAGTTTATACAGCAAGCACGGTTTTCTAAAGGAGTATTTCATTTAGCTAATCTTGTTGGTAATTTTACTATCTTATTGGCAGCAGTTCCTTTTGCTGTGTGATAATAGAGTACACATTTCATTGCTTTGGTCTTTCTGGCTTTAGACTTTGCATTTTACAATATAAAGATGAGAAACTAGCTGAGACAATATAATATAAATGATGTGTACATAGCTTATATTGTAGAGTTTTTTATTTGTATTATTTTTATGGTTGTCTTTTTGTCTTTTGTTTGTTTTGTTTTAATATTTTTAATATGTGTTTAATATTGTTTAATATTTAATATGTGACTGAATACACATATGTGGCTGTGGAAAGCCGGCTGCAAATCCCATTAGGAAATGTTGGCTTGGGCGATACTATTTTTAACATTCTAGCTGGAGATTGAGTCCTGCAGTCATAACCTAAAGTATTAACCGACAGTCCGCCTTTTAACAATTGGCAAGATGAAGCCAAAGTCAAAATATTTGTGTAACAGAATATCAGAGAAGCAAATATCTGTGAATGGATACACCAAAGCTAGGGAATGACAGGAACCTTCTGAAGGTAGAGAAAACAAATTCTCCCCTTCCAGAGTGGACTGGGGCCTCCCAGTACCTTGATGTTAGCTTAGTAGGATCCTTTTCGGTCCTCTCACCTCCAGAAGATAACATGGTGATGTCGCCCCAAGCACTCACGTGTGTGTCCTCTTGTCACAGTCACCAGAGAAAACAAGTATGCAGCCCTGTGTGATTTAAAACTTGTACCAAGCTTAGTGTACTGGCCTTACTGGTATTCTTATTTTTAGACCAAGCTGAGGAGGCTGAATGAGGTTCCAGGAGTCATTTGTTCAAGTCCACATTCCTTAATGGTTGAGCATAAGCCCCCACATTCTGCCTCCTGCACCCTGAATCCAAGGGGAGAAACTGAAGGGCAGACAGGAAGTTAGGTGCACCAGCCAATTATCGGGGGAGTAGCTGAGGTAGATGGAGGTAGAAGTGTGTGACCGGTCAGTAGGAAAGTAATTCTTAAAGCCACAGGAATAAGTGAAATTATGTGGGGAAGCCACTAGGAGAGAGGAACTCGGGCGCGGTGACTTTTAGAGCAGAGGAAAGACACGACACCAGAAAGGGTGTCTCCTGTGTCATTCCTGGTGAATCCTCTAAGTAAAACACAGTGACACCGTCAAACTTGCAGAGGGGGCTGAGGATTCCCGGGATCCTCAGGCGGAGCCAGCCTAGTCATATCGAAGTAAATGGGCCATCAGTCATGCCTGGATCCTATTTTGGGACTCTGACACTTGTGGTTATTCCCTGCAGCTAGAACCAAGCTGTCCAACACCGTAGCCACAAGCCACCTAGAGCTGTTGCAATGGCGTCAATAAAATACAAGGAAGAATTTACTTCTGCAGTGGCACTGGTGACATGTCAAGGACTCTGTAAGCAGAGACAACCAGTGGTAACCACAAATAGTATACTTTTGTTGTCATAGATGCCCAACCTCTCATTTCATTGTTGTCATGGTCCTTACTCTAGTATAAGGCACCCGTGGAAAACCGTAACAGTTGGTCAGGACGCCCTATCTGCTTACTGTCTGTATCTGTCCTCTTCTTACTAGACATGAATCTTTTTCATGTATTATCTGTCTAGCTTCATTGATTTGTAGGATTCAAGGCAGCTGCTACTTCAGTGGTACCATTTCATTGCTATTGGAGGGGAGAATGGCTCTACTCACGGAATGCCTTCAGCCTTGTATATCATGCATAATTCTTTTCTTAAAAAGTCTTACTCTCTGCTGTATACAAATTAAGACACCCTAGTTAGTGACTTCCCTTTTAACTAAACATCGTGGGTGCCTACTTTATATCTGTTTACTCTCACAGATTTAAAGCTCTTCTATTCTTGTTCCAAATTGCTCAGAGCAAGTTCTCACCAGATCAACCCAATTTCATCAAAGAGTTTTTTTCCCTCTCTGCAAACCCCCATCAAACACTTGGCGTGAAATTTGGGACAAAATGTTAATCGCCAGCAAAGCAGTGCTATTTTACCCCCTGGACTCACTGGGGTGATTAATAAACTCAAGGCTGTCAGAGCGTCTTTTCCCACACTCGATGAGTTGCTTGTGTGTCATTTTCTCTTTTCACACTTTATCCGGAAAACACACTGCTCTGCCCAGGAATGAAATCACACAGAGGTTCAGCATTCCTCCCGATGAGACTTTGGAACCCAGAGTCATATTTCAGCAGGGCTGAGAGTTAGGGAGATGCTAATGATAGTCGACGCATATCAAGCCACCCATCCTGGCTCTTCTAATAAGACAACTTTGTTACAGTAGTACTTACAGTTGAAGTATATATTCATAGCTTATTTTTTAGGTTTGAAGAAAAAATTGTTGGTCTCGTGTGAGTCCAGTGGCTTATCCTCTTTATCAAAAAGTATACAGTCAATACATGTCTAAAGATTCTCCCTTAAAATGTGAAGTAAAACAGGTAGGTGCTCCTAAGACCTCTTTGGTAGGAGTTTTGCTAGTCTCAATAATCACAACACATTTGGAATCATTTCATTTTTAATTTACTATTTATCTTTCTTTTCTCCTCTGTGCTTATATTTCAACCCGTGATTTCCCCTGTCAGTGTCTTACTTTTTCTCTCTTTCTCTGGTGTGTTTTTTGTTCATTTGTTTTTTGTTTTTGGTACCGGGCATTGAACTCTGGTCGTTGTGCTTGCGAGCCGGACATCTGCACCACTGAGCCAAATCCTTAGCCCTGGTACTTTTAACTAATCAGAATCATACCAAAACTGTATGGCTTTTTTGGCTCATTTATGCATTTTCAAAATTTTCCCATAGACTTTTATGTTCTCCTAATTTTAAGAACATCACATCATATGACATTGTGGTTTGAATGTCGAAAGTTCCTCACAGGCCTATGTCTTATGGCATGGTCATCAACCTGGTCCTATTGGGAGATGGTGGGACCATTATGAGGTGGGGCCTAGCAGGAGGAAGTTAGATCTTTGGGGATGTGAGCAAAACTTTCCTCTCTTTGGCTTCCTACTCATCGGGAAAATGGTTTTGCTCCACCACCGTCTACCCCCATGACTGGCTGCTTCCTCAGAGGACCAAAACAAAGCAAAAGAAAATGAAAACGGGGTGTCTACCCTTTCGGGTACTGGAGATTGTTATTATATTAATGAGTTTTCCATTATAAGCTGATCATTTCAGGTCTTTAGGAGAAAGCTAACTAACTCTCACGGAATGTAACTTGTAGGCTGTTTTGTGTTTGTGTTGTAGATCCCAGTGTCAACCGATATCAGGTGCAGTGGCTTCCGGAAGTCTGTGCTCACAACAGGACAGCTGGAGCAGAGACATCCTCGGGCGTGACCCACGTAAGGAGATGATTGTACCCTCCAACTCTGAGTCGCTTCTAGGTACATCGGATCCGTGCCCTCCTTGGACAGAAGAACGTGCAAAGGAGAGATGTCATGTGCATAACTCACTCTCACAAGCAAACTATTCAAGAATGACTTGCTGAGAGCTGGGCGGGAGGCGGGCATGCCATTCACTCATGTTTTCCTTTCAATTTTTATGTTTTATTAGTACATTTTGCAGCCAACACAGGGTATGTTCTAAGACTCAGACACTGAAGGCGCAGTGCCTAAGAAACTGACAGGGCAATGAGAAATACTTAGGAGTTTCTGCGTGCTTTTTGTTAACCAGAACAACACTCTTGATTGTTTTCTGAGTTTGGACCTGGTGCTGTAGCCTAATGGTATCATTTTACCTGTGCATTTCTTTATGGCACCTTCCTTAAACACATCTTTTGCCATGTTTTTCCCCGCTTAACAAATACTATCTCAGACAACACGCTCATCTTTTGTTTTTCAACTTTAAGAGAACATTAAGCTCCTGGGGATAGCAATTTCATGGATGCCAAATCAAACATTATTTCAAATATCTCGGGGTTAACTCATGAATTAGAGATTAGAGTCAAGCCAACCACAACGTTTAAGAAAGCATTTTATTGTACAAAGTGTGGACAGTAGTTTATATATAATCTATTAGGACAATTTAAGGAATCGAAAAACGCAGCCCAAAAGGTTACAATGTTTTCGTTTGTGAAATGTCACGAGACCACTTTTCTCTTCAACATTCTCTAAACAGTACAATATTTGTAGAATCATATCTGATCCCATAACTTTAAGATAATGAGCTGAAACAGGTAGCAAGATTTTCAGAATTTTGCAGCTTTTTAAGTATGAATTTGACCTGTTTCAACCCATGTTCGTTAGTTTTGTTTCCTTTAGGTTTTTTCCCAAAACTTATGGCCATCTAAGACATTCTAAGAAAATAAGATGACTTGAAAAGTACAGAAATAAACAAGCAAACAGTGCCTTGGGACCCTACAGAGTCCTGCTGAATTTTCCTGCACCCACCTAATCCTAAGCTTCCCATTGTTGGGAACCTGACCGGCATAACGATTCACCAGGCTTATATAACAAATCTGGTAGAAATAAGAGTCCAAAACCCCACGAAAGCATGTCACTTAGAATTCATCTCCCTCCACTGTCCAGTGACTTTCAGACGCAGCACTTTGCTTTCGTCATAAACCAGACCCTCCAGCACTCTACGAAACATCATCGCCTTCTCTGCCATAGGAGGACAAGTTTGAAATGCTTGCGAGGCGGAGTCCATAGCAGCTTTCTCTGGGTGGCAGTGTACTTTGATAAGTCACTCAGATTCCTTCTAGAGAAAAGCAGTCCAGGGTCCCCAGGAGACACAGCAAGCTGGGGTTGCCTGCATCGAGTTGCTTCCTCGTTGCGTTGTAGTGCTAATTGTGCAGAATGGAGTCTACCTCATCGATTTCCAGATCAAGGGCCAGCATCCTAAGCAACCATGGCCCATCCTCTTTGTACGTTGCATGCCAGGCACTTGCAAGAACTCTATCCCCCCGGAAGGTCTTGAGCTTCACTTTTTATTTTTATTTTTGCTTCATGTTTTGCCCTCACCTTCTTACTGTCTGGTAGAGATCTGATACTTTCCTTCAAGGGTACTGGGCAAAGATATTCCACCTCTACCTTTTATATACACATTAAATGCAAAATAGAACACAGAAGACTAATTTAATAGCCAGACATAAAAGAATCATAGCTGCAAACCTGCTCTAACAGTGAATGCCATCAATCACCAGTGGAGAGTAGAGGTTCTGACTTCTTGGCAGATTAGCCTGTTTCTTGTATTTATATTTAAATCATGACATTATGACAGGAAGCAGTAACAGCATGGCAGAAAGGGGGGAAAAAGTACCTTGCTAGAGGATATCATTTTAACAGAAAAACTTACATATAATCTGGGCATGAGTTCATTTTTTTTAACAAGAAAAGACAGTTGGATTTGTGTTCATGGGTTTAGACCACCGCTCATGGGCCTGCCACCCCAAAATGCTTGCTGCCAGTGTTAGAAGTTGTGTGCTTTGATATAGAACCATGATGGTGTGGTGGAATTCTAGAGGATGCATCCCATGACCATGAGAAGATTTCATAATTGTAATTAATCAAAGCACAAGAAGGATGTTCTTCGTACTCTGTGAAAACCATATTGCCTATGCCATATATACAGAAAAAGATCCCAGTTGGAGTGTAATTTCAACTCCTATCCAGTATTTTATCCCTAATGAGATTTAATACTTATTGCTGGCATATTCTCTGTCTACTGCTCTAGGAAAATTATATAATTCTTCAAGACCTGTCATTCTCCTGCAAATATAAGGTGACTGTCCAACCAATACGGCCAAAGGGTCTCGCCAAGGCAGAAGCCATTTTCTTTACTACTCCACCGTGCTCCACTTTGAAGGGGAAAAGCCACAAGCACATCAGTTGTCCTGGGGATTCAGGTGTGTTCCGACCTGCAGAGCCTCCACCTCCAGATAGTTCTGTACACTTTGCACTTTCTACACTTTGTACTACAAAGTCAATCATGTCATTCGTATAAAGCCCTTTGTTGTGAGAGAACTTCCATACCAACCCATCAGAGCACGTGTGCATGCCCTGGAGCCCTTTCTCCCTGCCAGAGCTTCACTCAAGCCCTACCGCTAACTGTCTAGGGCTCTGTATGTGGAGCCTGAGATCTCTCCATTCACTCTTCTGAGAGCTTCAAGATCCGTACACCCACCCCTCACCGTAGTCATTACTGTTGCTACGAAATGGCTCAGTTTGGCCAGAGATTAATGTCTCACCTTCTTCTGTTCCCAAAGCAAAGTTCTAAAAGTGATTTCTAAAACATCAGTGCTTAGAAAAAAGTATGCTTAGCAGTCATGAGCAGGGTGATTGCCTATACCCGCACCTAAAAATGAGGTTAGATTACCCTCACTTAAATGGCAGCCAGGAATTCCCGTAATGAGCCGGTGGACACTCTCTCCAGTAACGTAACCCTGTTTTGTTTTGTTTTTTTTGCTGTTGTATTTTTTTGTTTGTTTGTTTGTACCACTGCAGGTCCCGTTCTCTCCAAAGTATTTGCCAAGCCGGAGAACCTTTCTGCTTCGTTCATCATCCAGGATGTGAACATCACCGGCCGCTTTTCTTGGAAGATGAGCAAGGCCAATCTCTATCAGCCCATGACTGGGTTCCAGGTGACTTGGGCTGAGGTCACGACAGAGAGCAGACAGAACAGCCTGCCCAACAGCATCATCTCCCAGTCCCAAATCCTGCCGTCGGTAGGTGGAACTTCCTTCTTCCGTCCCTCTCCTGAGGGGCCTGTGGCTGCGTTCAGGGGCCAGCAGGTGGGCTCGCTCCGTCTCCATGTGTACTGTAGGGCTTGAGACTTGTTTCTGCGTTCTCTTTCTGAGTGGGTCATTTTCTAAGCCTTAACACATTGCAAGTATTATCGTGACTATAAGAAGTACCATGGACCGCCATCTACTCGCACTTTGATTAGTAAGGTCAACTTCCGCAGACCTTACGTCGGCTTTATGTGCGAGGGATTTTGCCTTTTTCCTCAATCTTTGTTAACCCCATGTCCTTCTGGTCCAAGCGGACATGCCCTGTTTGAAGTGTTAAATCGGGGCAAAATAGCTCAAAGGGACTTTTTCTTTATCTTTATTTCTCCCTTCAAGTTTGGCTACGGCCCATAGGAGTTGGCCAGTCTTCCCAGCCACTTAATTCCTTGGCGGTTACCCACTCTGAAAACCTTCTTAGGATCCACTTCTTGCTCAAAAATCTAAAAAGAAGAAGAAGAAGAAAAAGAAACCCTTTAAATCCTGGAAGGAAATGTTCCATGGAATGAGAAACTAGTTATTTTATGAATGTACAAGGTTTTATTGAGTTTTAAGAAGAATGTGTTGGCATAAAAATAAACATTTTCAGTTATGGGCATTGATAGAAGATAGGTTGTGCTTTAAGGAAAACAGTTGGCTCATTCACTGAAATTTGGGCGTTCAAGAATGCACATTACAAGATGTGGAGCTGAGAGGGGTAAGCCATGGGAAAATCTCACGTTAAGGAATAAAAAGAAGTAAATAAAAGATGAAATCCCAGGAGCGAGCACTGAGAACCGGCTCCTTGGCCCATTTTAACTCTGCCAAGCGCTGCAGGCTGCCGAGCTTTGAGCTAGGTGCTAAGAAGCCATATGACAGGCAGAGCTGGGAAATCTGCAGAAGTTAAGCTGCATGTGCAGCTGTTGTTTTCCCAAGCAGCCGAACACATGACACTCTTCACTGGGTGAAACGGCCGTCGCAGACCACGCGCTCCTCATGTGTTGTCCCTAGAGGTCATCACTGAGCATCTCATCTCCTCTCGCTCCTCAGGATCACCACGTGCTCACCGTGCCCAACCTGAGGCCGTCCACCCTGTATCGCCTCGAAGTCCAAGTGCTGACCACCGGCGGGGAGGGCCCGGCCACCATCAGGACCTTTGGGACCCCTGACCTCCCCCGCTCTGCAATGCACAGTGAGTAGCACCTTGGGGAGTTAAGGGGCCCAGGCAGGCATAGTGCATGGGGAGAGAAGTCTTGGTGATAAATTAAAACGTATAAACAAATTATTACAGCTTTCTGTGGAGTAGGAAATTCTCCTCTGCTGAAGTTCTTCTCCATTCATATCTGCTTACTGGTTTACGGACCCTTGATTTACTAACTCAGTTCACTCGTGAGGGCTGGTTGTAACTCAGGTTGGCCAGGCCCCTCTACACAGCCTCCAGAGTGTCTCTCCTGCATCATTTTAGGCCGCACCTTCTTCCAGGCAGATCTCAGTGGCCTTAGGGAGACACTGGCCCAGGCTTTGTCAGTGAACCCCACACAGGAAAGGATGCTGTCACGTTCCTTCCAGAGCTCTTTAGGGGTTCAGTCTGTGTCTGAGGCCATCTGGAAGCACAAGCGGCTGGAATGTGGGTCATAACTCAAGACTTTGGCCATAAATTAAAACTAAATTTCCCGTCGTAAGTCAAGTTGTTCGTATGTCAGGCTGGTCATAACTTGAGGGTCCACTGTAGTTTGTAACTACCTTTAATCGCGTAAAATTGAAGAAAAAATATGGTCACCTCCTCTTTTAAAGCAAGTAGCTTCTTGTTGATTTTTATCTTATTTACTTTAATAATTTTTGTCAGCCTAAATTTAAATGACAGTGTCTAAAGTTTTGTGTATTGGTGAGAAAATTGAGAATTAGTCTGTTTTTACTCTGATTTTTTTCAAAGTAATGAATCAAACGTAACTCTATAACTTAGTCTGATTATAACATGTAGCCTTCACTATGGGAGAACTTGCGGTCCCTTATGTTTGTAAGGGTTTGTGTTAGTTACCTTTCCCACCTCGGGACAAACTACCCAACACTCACAACGAAAAGAAGGAGAGGCTTAATCTAGCTCACAGTTTCAGAATTATTAGTCCATGGTCAGTTCCCTCCAAGGTAGAGACATCATGGTAGAAGGGAGAGCAGGGAAGGAAGGGAAAAGATGCCTGGGTCATCGTAGCCAGGAAGCAAAGGCCGACAGTGCCAGGGAGGAAAGGAAGGGACCAAATAGAATGCCCAAGGTCACACCTCCGTGATCCACTCCAAAGGGTGTCCAACAGTTCCCTGGGCAGCTCCCAAGCCGGTCAAGTCGATACAATTGAGATGAAGTACCTCAGGATTGAAAGAAATGCTTTTCTGACATTCCCCCATTAATATTTTATTTATTAAAGTGTTAATTAAAAATATTTTTTAAGAAAAAGATCATAGTTTGTTTAAAGACTGATGACCTTACAAATGAAGCTTATGTTCTCTCTCTGGTCTGAGGGAAGGGGCAGAGAAAAGGCAAGAGATAAACTGAGACAGGAGCGGATCCGAGAGAAGAAAAGGGGAGACAGAATGAGTGGATATGTGTTTGCCCGTTCAGTTGTAGTACAGGAAAGATCATCGCCTGCTCTAGGAGTGAACATTTGGCCGGGTCTGACGCTATTGCCGCAGATAAATGGGTTCCCACTCTGTTTGGTGTAGAAAGTGTAGAGCTGATGGCTCTTATCACTCCTTAGGACCCCGTCTGAAACATCATCATTCGCACCACTACAAGCCATCTCCAGAGAGGTACTAAACCGCTCCCGGCCTTTCTCGCATTGACCGGATGGGTATGCTGGTTGGACTTCAGCCTCGAGACAGCACCCTTCAGCAGGGACCCCTCAGAGACGGCACAGTACGTACTTCTGCCAGTCACAGACCACACGGAAACAGTTGATTAGTCATCAGCGAGTGCAGACAGACACCAGTTACCCAGCAAAGAGGAGAAAACTGAAGCAGACACCTACAGGACTCTCAATTTCCTTTCTGTCTGTGGTCTTGCTAGTCTCTTTTGGATTTCTGCAGAATTGAGTTTTCTGTGAAGCAGCAAGATCTCACAACAGAGTAGTGTGACATATACACGGTTTATATACCTACTAAGTACACATTTAATCAATAAAACATATTTTTTATTAAGTTATTGTTCTGGTTTGCAAAGTCAACTGAGATCATGTAGCTTTGGGGTACTGTTTCTTCGCTCTTTCATAAAGTTTTTAAAATCATGGTTGATTTTTTTTAACTGAAAATGTATAATCTGAATGATACTCACGAAGTTTAACCTGAAAAAGAAATCCCTTATTTAAGCGCCCTCAGCTTCTTTTTATATAAAGGACAGCAAAAGCTCATGCTGTCATTTATTATCTCCAAGACATCCAGAACTGGCAAAACATCAACTGCTAACTCGATTATGGAGAAATGCACATTCTTTTCGGAGGATACCTTTAAATGTTTCATCCAATCTGAGGGACCTTCCTGATCTGTTTCCCTTATTTATATTCTTCCTCGATGCAGAAAGCAGCTTTTGGTGTGTTTTGTTTTGCCATCTGAACATCCACAAAAGCTGCCTGCCGGTTTCAAGTGAAAGAATCCCAGCCTACTGGGCATTTTCAAATCTGTACAAAGAGTCGCTTTTTCTTGGTCTAAGGAAGCTATTTGCACGCTATCATTTTCTCAGTAATAAAAAAAAAACAAAAGGACTGTGTATTGACTTAAAAAAAAAGGATGATTATCTTCCTTTAGTTCGAACTTTATTGTTTGGAAAATTCCTCTACTCCAACCTTCCCCGAGTTATATGAGTTCCAGTTAAATGTGTTATTAGCCTATGGTGCTGAGTTGTGTTGTGGGAAAACCTAAACACAGAAATGTTTAGTTTCATCTATTTTTTTTTCTTGAGAAACTGCCCATATATGTGGGTTTAAACATACATAGATTTGTACCTGTACCCTTATAATTGTGTGTATCTATAAGATATATGCACAAATATAGATGCCCATCCTTATATACACGAGAGAGTCTAGCATATGGGTATGAATCCCTAAAGAAATTGCTTTCACACTTCGCTGGTGCTGAATAGAGAAGTAGTTTTCCCAAAGTTGATAAGGATCATATATTTTCCCCATCAATGTGGATTCCATGAGAAAGGAGCAGTTTATGAAAATTAATCTCCGTAAAAGAAAGGCTTCCTCCTTTCGTTGTCTATGCAAGTACAAGAGAGAGAAAACCAGTACGGTTATTTTGGCTTTTAATGATAGGACTGACTTAGTCCTTGTTGTTTCGCTGTCTCTGGGATGCTGGTGGATGCCTGACCTTGGCTCCCTGAGCTCCAGGTGCAGTGTTCAAAGAATGACAGGTGGGAAATAAGATGGGGAGAAGCCCCTTTCGTCATTATTTTGGGACGTATCTTTCGGAGACACAATCTAGAAACACAGACGCTAACCATAGATATGAAACACACACTTCCCTATGTGTTACAGTATGTAGAAAGCAGAGAACAGTGGAGTGTTTCGCAACTTTGTGTGGGTCACATCAAGTGCAAATTCAGAATAATGTGGAAGTCTGTGTTTACATTCTGAGTGGCTTTCTGCAGCCATCACCGTGGCCTGCATGGACTGAGCAGTTTCCTCAAGTCACCTGGCTCCAAGGATATGAATGGAGGACACAGCCTTCATTGAAACGCCCCCCTGCCCCGACGCAAGCAGACTTCGTAGAGATCTGAAACTATGATTATTCTACTGTTTTCACCAGTACTTGAATTCTGAGCTTTCAAAATTTCAAAAATCTTAACTTATTATTGACTAGGTGTTTTATCTTCCACTTTAATTCTTCATGAACAGATCTCAAATATTTATGCCAGCAGGGTTTTGTACTGTTGTATAGTTCCAAATGCAGGAGTATATACATAGATACAAAATATTATTAAATTATTATATAAATTTAACTTTATAAAACTTATGGGTTTTTTTATTTTTTGGTCTGGGTAAAGAACATGGAGCAAATATATTTTTTAGTTCAGATATGGGTCTCAAGCTTATATCTTCCTTTGAAAAATCCTGAACAGCCTCTATGAGCATCTAATTTGGATGTAAGACTGAAAAAAAAAATTTTGGTGTTCTTAGACAAATACTGCTATGAATGAGGTAGTCAAAGAGACATGTTTCTGTCTTGAATTTTAATCTCTAACAATAATCAAATGATTAACATGTAATTATAATTTTTCAAACTTTAGACATGAGTACCACTCTTCATAAAGCAGTTTCAGTTCTTCATTCTCTAATATATTGTATTGAAATGCATTTTTCTCACAAAAAATGTGTGCAGAGTTTGCATTGACTCTTTCAAACTTCGAGCTCATCAAAAATGTCATCGAAGACAGATGGTCCAGTTGACATATTCTAAAGCGGTGTGCAATATTCTCTCTCATGCCCTGAACCCTCTAACAATAAATGTTTCTGAGCTTCCCTCTTTTGTGAAATGGAACTCTACGAAATGACTTTCCCACATCAACCTGTGGCCATTCAATCACTCACTGCTAAATAGGATAGATCACAGACAGAAACCTTACGATGGGCGACTGCTTAAGTAATGCTTAGAGGTTACAATTTCAAAACCCAAGAAAATGCACAACTGGCTCCAGAGAACAGGATGTGTCAGCTTCAGCACTGTTACGTTGAGGGCTGGATAGGTCTTTATTGCGGGAGTCTGGGCATTGTGGGGTATTCATTAGCCCTCTCATTTCCCCTCCCCTAAATTGTGGCAACCAAAAAATAATGTTCCTAGGATTTCTCCTTCCCCTCGGAAATGGGCACCTCCGGGTAAAAACCAGTGCAGTAGAGGGGTTTTTACAGAACAGAGGGAAATTGGCCTTTGAAAAGGAGCCAGCCTCGGGAAAAATCCCAGCCAAGATCTTAACACATTTCACTTCAAACACCTTCCTTTAATCTTCTGTGTCCACCGAAGAACCTGGTTAGAAGGCTGAATTTCAACTTGTCTCTGATTCGTGAGAGCAGAAGCCTCCATCTGCCCTAGGTACCAGTAAATGCCATTTGTGAAGTCAGCACATTATTTAATGCTCTTTCATACACTGTGACCGTGGCTTCCTTGAGTTTCACACATGTGGGTGATCACAAATCCCATCCAGTAAACATTCACACTATAGCCTGAACTCAGAGGCAAAGTGTTTGCATGTACTTCAGAGTCCATTTTAAGATAGATACAATCCATGAAGGTGTTGCGTCTTAGCTCTGGTGTTGCATGGCCATACAGTTTCATGCGAGGTGTGGACTCCCCTGTCTTTCCGCTACTGAGTACTAGCAAGTTATATGATTTACAGAGTGATTAACAGAGGTCTATATAAAGTTATTATTTTTTCCTTTACTTAAATATATTGTAGTGCGTGGATAAGAGAACTGGTACTTTCTCATCCCAGTGGTCTGTAGAAATCGTGTTCCTTATTGTGCTCATTTAAAGTCAATATTTATTTATGTATGTAATAAACATTCTCATTTCTGTGTATGTCCGTCATGTTATTTAGAGAGAGGTAATCTTATAAAAAACATTTTGTAAAAAAAAAAACCTCAGAAAAGTATTGTAAATAGCCTGATATTCGGTGACTCATTATTTTCATGTTAGAGTTTGTACATACTGATTCAGTAATAAAGTATCTTTAAACCCGTCTAACAAATCGGCTCATTTATTTCTTAAAGAAGCACTATTTCTTTTTCAATTAAGGAAAATCGACAGTTTCTCATGCTGCTAGGGAGATTCAAAGCACCTAACTCTCTCTGAGGGAGGGCATGCATGGAATTTGAGGTCTGGTCAATGTGAACAAGACAGCTCTTCATTTTAATGAGAGTATTTTGGAGTCTGACTGCCAACACTTCAGTCATTTCATCATATTTACAAATGTAACTCCCACTAGTTTGGGTGGCATGTTTTTAAAGCAATGACCTGCAGTCTTCGCTTGCTTTTTCCTGCCTCAGTGTTCCATAATGCAATGCTGATGAGCGCATGCCTGCATCTCTGTTTTTCATCTCCATATCCTGTGATGAAAGATGTCACTCTCCAGTATCTACGAAGAGCATAGGGGGTTTTAAATTCCCACTTTGACATGCAGTATTTGCTGATGGATGAAGTAGGCTTTTCTATGAAGCATAAAATAAACTGATGTTATCCCAGGGAATCGAGCTCTTTTTTTTTTCTTCGATGAAGTCAGTGATGTATATATTTGTCCACTTATCCAGCAGACACTTCCTCAGTGCTTGCTGTGTACACGGTCTACTTGAGCAGAGGGGCATTGATATAGAAACAAGAGCTCTCTGTTTTTATGAATTCTTTATGGTAGTACACAATAATAATAAGACATGAGGATAAATGTGAGAAAACAGGTGATGGTAAGGGCTGTGCTCAAAAGAAAATGCGGCACTGCGCTACATAAAGCTCCTGTAAGGTGAGAGAGTCAGTCGATACTGCATCCAGCAGTGACAGCTCAACTGAACCATGGACCCTTGAGCTCCAGGCAGAGGGCACAGTGGGGCGGAGGACATCCACACAGAGATGAGCATAGTGAGGTGGTCAGACCAGCAGTTCCTGAGGAATCTGGAATCACACAAGTGTGTGGCATTCTAAATGATGTGTAGGAACCTGCAGAAGACAAATTCGGGAGCAGAAAATCAAGTAGCAGAGGATGATCATCATTCAGGTGAAGACTGAAAGATTAACCCACAGTGGTCATGTAGAGAGAGAACCAACAGATTGAGGGTGTGTTGGAAATTGAATTGACAAAACTGTGGGGATGAGCCAAAGGCAGCAAGAAGACTACCTCTTAGATTTGAGGCTGGGCTACCTGTTTTCTGGAGCAATTTATCATTGTTTCATATTATAATCTCTTCTTAAAAGTCACGATTTTTTTTCCCACCCAAA